CCCCAAAACCCCAAAACCCCAAAACCCCAAAACCCCAAAACCCCAATTATCCGCTATAAATTAGATTTCTTAGTATAAATTTAACCTATTTCCCACAAATATGGAAGAAGATAAATGAGATGAAAATGTGATTGAGAGGTAAACTTTTCAGAAATCTTTTAGAGTCAACTTCACAGGGACTAATATCCAAATCCTTGTCTTAGCTCTACAAGCAATGATGTATCAAGAGAATAGGAGGAGCTATAAGGATGTCAGGATTACCGCTCTCAAAGGAAAAGGTACTCATAGTATCTTGATTCATAGGCCTGACCTTTGTATGCCAAGATGAGGGGTGATCAAGCACAGCAATGATTAAAGCATCGTACGTGCTTTTTATAACTTCTAGAGCATTTGAAACCTTTAATGTCCTCTCTCAAAAATGTAATTTGCAGTGTTATCCATAGTTGACAGAGGAGAATTAGTTGAGAATTCAGACCAAGTGATTATTTGAATCAACCCCAAGTTTCTTGTAGATTTCTTGAAACTAGTAAATTTGTGTAATTATCAAATAGATTCCTTCCGATAGAAGTGTCAAATTTGAGTATCCTGTGGGGGACAACCAACTCAAGGTCTCTACTGGATCAGATTTACAGGGATTAGGAGATGAAAACTACTTCTTCTCAGACAGGTAGAATCTTGATTGAACATTTAGCTTCAATATCTCAACTACATCATCAGAGTTTATCAAATACAGCTACCCTCAATATTCCCAAGATGATATCTGTAAGTGACTCCCCCTCTTATTCATACCTAATTGCCCATAGGCTCAGAAATTTTTGTTGGAAGCAGAGTTTTCAAGAAAATTCTAAAAGAATTTGCTGATCTTGGAAAAGATGACCTCCTGAGATTCCAATACTCAGTAGAATCAAACAAGCTCCAAATAATGCATAGGGACGAATTCAAGGTCGACAGTGACTACCTCCCTTCAGTGATCAACGAGAATGATGGAAGCTCATTCAGATCTGTAAGTTGCCTCAAAGACCTCTTCTAGATTGAGATTAAAGCTTTAAATTTACAAGATGATTACGAAGATATTGAAAACAAAGGTATTTCATTCCACTTATGTCCCAGATTGTGCAAGATATTACAGAATAAACACACTCAGATTCGTCTTCTCGAGATTGACCAAGGATAGCAAAGAATGCCAATTTACCATCTTTGGCAATGGAAATCTGAGGATTTATTTCATATTTGATGAAAAGTAAGTCAGTCTTACCAGATTAATTTTGAGCAAAGAAATTATCTTGCAATAGCCTTGATCTATACTCTAATTAGAGCCCTTGAGAAGTAGCCAGCTACAACACGAGTCACATAATTTCCCCTTTTTAGAACCTTAGAAAATGAATTTTATATACAAAGCCTAGATACTCGACCATCTAGATAAAGGATTTTAAGGCTGGGGGTTTTAACTCATCTCTTACCTTGTTGTTTAGTCCACTGATAGAATTCACAGTGAAATGACACCAAAATGACGATGAGATAGAAAGCTCAAGTGATGCTGATTAATTCTGACCTCTCAACAATAAAATCTTTCTTTTTGTTTCAATATTGAAAGACATACTTGGGGTTTTGGGGTTTTGGGGTTTTGGGGGTTTGGGG